AACAAACCTAAGTGCTAGATTACTTAAAAATAAGATTTTATTGAAAAGTTTTAATAATTTATGACCTGTAAATTAAACTGTTATTGTGTATCCGTATTTTATTTGTTCAACCATTAAATAATATTGTACCTCATTTTGTATCATGATTCCTGTTTATGCATATGGAAAGTAACGGTAATAATGTTATACAGTGAGTTTGTTTTATACTAACCAACTCTATGAATGATGCTGCTGTGTGTATGATTACAGTGCGTGTGGCATGTATCTCATATTATGCAGATGAACACATGTCTTACAAATCTTGACCAATCACCGCTCAGCTCGTTCATAGTGGTCTGCATCACAACTTAGTCGATGTGATGTAGTATATTTATGGTGTTTTTTATGCAAAGTGGAAATACCATTTCAAAACATGAACCATTATTCACAAAAGACGTAGAGCAATCATCATCTGTAAGATGAAATAATGTGACTCGTAAAAAAATGATTTCTATAGAAACTATTTGAAAACTGGAAGATGAACATGAGATTAAAGAGATTAGATGGTCAGCTTCTTTTGTTTTTAGCTCATATATCTCTTACTTGAATCTGACTCTAATGACCATCTTTTTACAAGCTATATAACAATTGTCTACACCTTTGAGTAAGTATTTCACTGTCTTCTCCCTATGGGATTTACATTTTTTGCCTTCAAAGGCAAATGACCCGAGTATCTAGCCACTTTTTCCGGGCATTTCCCCTGGCTAACCTTTCGAGATGATTTTAATCAGATTGGGATAGACCAGTAGGAGACACAAGAAGTCCAGGAGGGGTGTTGTGCAACTTATTACCAACTTATTTATTGTCATAAATTAAAATTGGTAATTTGATATGTCTAAATCAGCTTGTCAAACGCAATTTTAGATTTTTCATAACAGTAATGAGTTTTTGAACTGAAATGTCATTTATCGTAATTTTAAATATATATAAGTAGTACTTAATTACTGAAATGCAAAATACAATATGTAAGCTTCATTTATTAGAATTAATTACATGCTAGAGGGCAGTACACGCCACCCAAATTTACAACTTTAGATGGAGGTAGAGAGACGGCTAAAATAAGTGGTCCGATATGTGATACGGCCTTTCTGATTGGCCTTCCGTGATTGGGCGCGTGCCTGTTCATTTATTGGCATATTACCAGGATTGATAAACCAGCCTAATTCTATACCATTCTACTCAAGGAGGTTGATTCCCTCCAAGTTTAATGTATATCATTTCAATTACAGTTTGTGAATTCAGTAAATATTTACCAATTTCGTCTACTCTTAGCCCAGAGAATACGACTCCACATGAATGGATGCTTCTGTCAAACACATACCATCTAAATCATTCAATGACATGATGAAATCCGAAACGTACTTGTAGTTGCTTTCGTTTGAATACCATGGCAACATTGCTTATTGCATTAAATAAAACACTAAATTACTTTCAATAACTAAATAATCAATATTCGATTGTACGAAGAAACGCCACCACAGTCTTATAAATTCACTGTTTTGCCGAACTTGTCAAAAGTTGAGCAGCTACCGGTCATGGGAAATCATAATAGAGATAATTAAATAAAATCGACAAAGGAAAATTGTCTTCTCGTTTTTGGTGAAGGTGTTGTCATGGTAACCGTGATGTACGCGTTATTTTGATGAGTTTGTACACATTCGACTAGTATTACAGTAATCATGCCGACTATAGCCTGAGTAACTTGAACATTGACAATTCTGCTCAGAATATTATCAAACTTGTGTTTTGTTTCCATGTAAACACGCAATGCGAATTGTACTCAGTACATTAATTTGGTTTCAATTTATCATTCACCATAACCCCGTTAGATGGCGCTATATCTCCGGTCTGAGAAACAACACGATTTCACCATTCTTAGTAGGTCTATCCTCCCTGGG